ATCTGTGTAATAGCATGTGGTAATGCTGTTCAGTTAAGTGTTTTTTTGTTAAGTAAAGTTTGAATTCTGATGTCTACTGCCTGGCAGTAACTTGAACCTATTATTATTATTATTATTATTATTATTATGCCCTTTAACAGTCATCAAAAGGGCACAAATTTGGCTCCACACTGACGCCTGCACCTTAGCAAAGCACAACAGCTGGCGTTGCTGAAATACAATGCAAAAGGAAGAATAGATGTTACAAATTCTCGACAGACTACCTCGCGCAAAGGTCTAAAGGCAGGAACAAGACACAGAGTCTGACAACGTCTTAGGCCTCCATATGCATTTGCTGGTAAAGGCAGAAGTTCTGCCTGTAAACATTTTCTGACTGCACAAAATATAAAAAAGGGTAGATATTGGATGCATTAAATGCAAAATTACGATTTCATTTCTGAAAGGCTGTTTCAAATTTGAGGCATCCTTACTGAAACAGTTTGTCAGCCTTTCTCAGAGCCTTCGCTGAGGGAGTGTACTGTATTTGCATGATGTTCAGTTGGTTTTCGTCATGTTTCTGCTCCTGCCCCAAACTTCATTCTTCAGTACTTACATTTTCTCTGGCCCAGCTCTCCCTGCTCAACAAGTCATACAAACCCACCTCTCTTAACCTCAGCCCCAGTTTCTTTGCTGAAAATCATTCAATCTCTTCCATCTCACTCCCAGTCCCCCTTGCCCAGGAAATTTCTGCCATCCTTCTTCTTGTCCCAGTTCTCAAAATCCCATCTTTCAATCCTGCCCTGACTTTCCAGGCAGCTTCCATATAATTCGTGTCATTTCCTCCTTCACACTGCCAGAGTGATAAACGCCTCTTAGCTTTGCCAAATCTCAGCCTCGCCAGACTACAACCTCCAAAAGATCTGAGCATGCCCCTTTTCTGGAGGGGAGTTGGAGATGTTCAAAGGCATGTAATGTAGCTAATTTGGGTGAATTTTAACTGGGAGATCGGTAAGACACATCCTTGTCCCAAAGCTGACCTCCTGGCAAGGCTCACACTTTCACTCTGAAGGCCTTAGAGGAGATGAAGAGCAATGAACCGCTTTCAAAGGAAAGGTCACCAGGAGTTTAACATGAGCAAAGTGACATTTCCTCCTAGCTTTATTTACAGAACCAGATGAACCATTTCAACTAACATTTTCAAAGCCCAGCATGGGAAGTTTCAGCACAAATAGCTACACTGACAAAATTATGAGAACCCCAGGGCAGGTTACTTTCCTGGGGAACGCTGTGGGAAGAGGAGCCATGCACCAACTCTGTCAGAGAACCTTTCCCCTTTAAACTAACGCTGGCAGCTCCGGGGCAGCCAGTCTGCAGTCCAAATGGTCACTGTATTTCTTTTTCATGAGAGTTTGGACCTGCTTCAAGCCTAGTGCTAAAATTAGGTCTTTTACTAGCTTTTTAATTTTCCAGTTCAAAGGCTAGAAGTTTTCAGAAACCACGTAAACCACTACTGAAGGTTACAGTCTGGACCACGGTTCTGAGTCCAAGACATCCAACAGAAGCTGGTTTGCATTTTGTAGGAAGCCAGATGAGCATAGCTCAAAAAGGCAAAAGCGTTGCACTTCACATCAATCTCATGCTGCTAATGGGGAAAATACAGTTCCACTTTTTACGGAAGCCAAGGGAATGAGAAGGATGAATACCCAGATACAGAGCTTTGGCTATAATCACAGTGCACGGTAGTTTAGACGCGCCTTTTCTAAGAAACCTCTCTCTACAGGACACACGTTATTCCGAAGACATAAACAACATGCCAGCCTGACTGATGTGATTCATCGTTGCTTTCTTTGATGAGATCACCACACGCTACTGCAGAGCAGAAGAAGCTTCAGTGCCTGAGCCCGAATTTTATGGTTCAAGAATCAACGGTGTTTTCACTCAGGAAATTTATAGTCTTTGCCAACCCCAAACTGGAACGAAGGCAAATCAGTCACATGTTGCAACCTTTCCAGCAAACTCAGCTCCACATGCGCTATTTCAGTTTCTTTTCTGGTCGTGTCATTTTGCAAGTAGACATAGGAAAAAGGTTAAAAGTCAAAACAGGCAAGCTGTATCAATAAGTTAAATTCAAATTTTCTTGAAATAAGTAGCAGTCTCAGAGTGCCAACTCAGATTGTGTAAGACTATATATTTAAAAATGTTTGGCTTAGAAAAATTATCTTTATTCATTTTCCACCAGTGTCCCCCAGAGTGGGTTTTTTAGAGCATTCAAAAGGCAACACTGCACTAGTAAGGGCTATACCCTTTCAGTCATTCCATTTTACTTTTCACATCAAAAATGTTAACTTGCCTTTAAACCAATGCAGAGGCCCTCCTGAAATTTTTATACATGTGCTTTTTATATACTTTTCTTTTACTTACACTTCCAGTTACTGATTATGTTTCAGGATCAAGAAGAACCACAGGAGGAAAATAAAATTTTAAAGAGAGAGATAGGCAAGGTCATAATCTATTACAAACATTTTTTTTCCTTTTTTAATATAGTCAGCCACCTACCCGATGTGCTGATGTGCTCATTCACCTACCTAACTTTCAAGAAAAGTTTTACAAGTATTTAATAGTTTCTTTTTCACCAGGAGTTAATCAATTAGTGCAAATGATGATGCACGCTCATCTGTTACCAATATATTGCTTTATTTCTTGGTAGCAAATTAAGGCTTTATAGTGAGATTTGTACAGTACAGGCCAATTTCAACATCAGAAACCTTAAAAACCATGTAGCGCTATTCACTCAATTTAGCATAGCCAGAAAAGTAGCTTTTTTTTTTTTTTAATAAACAGTTAAATGTTACTAATGAGGCCTTATATTTCATGAGTGCAAATGGCTCAAAATCCCACCATCCTCAGGAATGGGCTTAACATTTAATTATCCTCGGGGCCATTTTGAGATAAAGGATAAACAGTATAGCTGACTCGAATAAAGTGTACTGTACTACTTGCTGGAGAAGAATTTTAAAAATACAGAAAGGAAAACCAAAGTCATCTTAATTGGCCAAAGGATGGTATCACCCCCTATTAGTCACTGACCAGTAATAGTGGCAATGACAAATTCATTTTCCATGGCCCCCTTTGCTTTAGTACAATCTGATTTATAATTCAGAGCTGATGACATCTGTATGTTAAGAAACTGAAAACTGGAGGAACATACCTAAGTTACACGAATTTTTGCAGCAGTAGGACAAGTTCCCTCTGCAGGGACATGTCTAAACCATTGCTTTTTTGTAATTTGAGAAAGCATTGCTACAAATATTTCCTCAGCAGCTATGTATTTTTCTTGAGCATATGGATTTTCACTTCATATCAGTGATTTTATTAGTGTTGTCTGGAGATGATGGAACTACTGCTTATGAAAACCAGACACGGTGCTTCCCTTCTTATGTTCTCTACAGAGACATTTATAGTGTTTGAGCTGAACGTATGAATTCACCTGTCAGTCAGGCGCAGGGGGCCTGCCTGAAAATATCATCACCCCTAACATGTCTGGCTTTCAGATCGGAGCATTACATGTGAAAATGCAGAGAAACGGCTGCCAGAAAATTGTGAAGAAAGTAACCATCAAACGACCACATGCTCTGGGGAAGGAGGCAATGAGGTGGGGGAACCTCCAAACCACTTTTGCTCTTGCATGAGCAAGAGTGACCATGAGAGTACAAGGGGGTCCCAGTGTCACAGGGCAATGCTGGTGTTTTAATTCCTTGTTGAACAGCAGCTCTTTCTCCAGCCTCAGGGAACACACACAGACAAGGTTTCACAAAATCTAAATCTAATGTGAATAACACTCTAAGCCCCTCTGTCCCCAGGGGTGTTAACCTAACATCAGGCTAACGTCTTTGAAATCCCAAGATCAGCCATCTATCCTTTGAACTGGAAGGCCAGAGAAAAGAGTCAGGTTTCTATGTGTATTAAGGCACATACTGAATTTACCTCAACACACGTGTCTGGTTTGCTCAGGGAGTGTCAACTTCAGTGGTGCCACCAGGCTGCTGAAGAGATACAGCGAAGGAACAAAGACAGACTTTCTGGTGACAGCCGCGCAGCACAGCAATCGGGACTGCACCATGCAAGCTGCTCCGCAATGCCTCAGAGAGTCCCCGGTGCACTACAGTGCTATCTCAGCTTGTTGCAGAATTACAGCAGCTTCTCAGGCTGATTTGCTGGCTTTTCCCTTTGCCAGGCCACCAATATCGCATCTGTTTTCCTTCACTCGGGTGAATATGTCATTGCTTATCAGACCCAGAAGTCCCTATCTGCTACCAGAGGGTGGTACTACACGTGCAGGAGAGGGTGGATTTAGAAATGAAGGCAAGTAGTGATGATGTACGAGTGACCTGGAGGTGGGCTTTCCAAGAGAATCCATGCATGGGCACAATCTCCAGATTCACTCAGCAGAGTGCTCGGCAATGGCCAGCAGGTCTTATTCTGCCTCAGTCAAGTATGTTTAAGAACATTACCCAGTATTTCCTGAGGGATTACAATGGACGGCTACCAAAGAGAAACTACTTGGAGACAAGGGGATGCTTTATCAGCCATACTGGAAGAAGTTGGGGAACACAGACACATATTGCATAGTCAGCTTCAGGAGCACAGCTGGAATTCAGATGTACTTGACACAGCTTAGCAGCATTTCCAAAGGAGGGATTATGTGCTATTTCCTTTGGAGGTAGCTACTGTAGCCTGGGACAAGATCACGGCTGTTATGGAACGGGCACCCCACTGGGGATGCTGAGCACTCATTGCTTTTTCATTAAGGCAGCCTCTCCACGGAGACCCACCACACCTTAAAAAGTGATCATACAAAAAGCAAACAGAATAGTCCTCCAGAAACCCCCCTCACCCACAACATACAAGAAAAGCTGACTCCCGTGAGCTACAGAAAAGACAGCATTACTGCATATGGGAGCGTGTGTTTATACATCAGTGTTTTCAATACTGCATTGTAACGACAGGCGTGGGGTGTCCTTTCAGAAGAAGGCAGGGTTGGTGTGCTCTATAATACAGCGCTTGCAATGTCGTTTAACAAATCGCAGAGCATCCACAGAGACATCGCAGTCCTGCACATTCAACATCTGCAGGTCAAAACAGTTGGCAGCTACAATCTGCAGGCCCTGCCCAGTAATGCTCTCACATGATTTCAGGCTCAGGCGCTTCAGGTTGAAGCAGTTGAGGGCTAGAAACTCTAGGCCGGTGTCTGAGACCAGAGGGCACTTGCCAATATCTAGCGATTTGAGTTTTGTGCAATTTTTGGCGAGGTACTCCACACCGTGGTCCGTGATGCCCTCGCAGCCCCGCGCGTTGAGGTAGCGCAGTTTGCTGCAGTATTTGGCTATGTAACGGATGCCCACATCTGTGATCCGGCCGCAGTGAGCGATGCTAAGGTATCGGAGGCGCGACTCCAGCTTGGCAATCTCCCGCATGCCGAAGTCACTGACAAAGCGACAGTCACTCACGCTCAGTTCCTTAATAGACGTGCAGTAAATCATCAGGTAGCGGAGACCCTCGTCGGTGATGCGGACACAGCGGCGCAGGTACAGGTGGGTCAGTTGAGTGCAGTGAGCGGCAATGGTGTGCAGTCCTTCGTCCTCCAGGACGAAGCAGTCTGTCATGTCCAAGTAACGAATGGAGATTTGTTTCCCGTGTAAGGGAGACAGCTTGATGGAGGCTTCGCGAGTCAAACTGATGCATGTTACTTTGGAGCAGCCTAAGTGGAAAAACACAGCGAATTTAAGCAAGCCATAAAAAACAAATCACACAGCAAGACCGGAAAGGTAAGCATGAAATTGCGTGTTGGATGTGAAGATATCTTCATGTTGCAAGAGCAGAATCATCCTGACTGACTAGTCTGGATTTGCTGTGATGTGTCCCTACACCAGAGGAAATTATAAACTCCACTGGAGTCAGTGAGGTTGCTTCGGGATTTTGAGCACCAGCAAAGTGACAGACCAATTTTGTCCATATCCCAAATGTAAAATGATGGTCCTAGGTTTATCTAGGGACAGTCTATGATCTGTTACTGCAATATAAACCCAGTGACAATTTGACAAAATGGTACTACATGACAACCAACACAGCTTTTTGATCAGAGGCAGTCTCATTGCTGACTGGCTGAGTTTGTAAACCAACATCAGAGGCTCTTTCACCATCCAACCCCATTATAAAAAAGACAAACCCCACCCACTCACCAAAAAGCATTTGGAGAACAGATGTGAATCCAGCCCCAAGCCTGCAATGTGGGAAGGATGCAAAACTATGGCAAGACTATGTGCTTGCAGAAGGGTGGAGGTTCGGGTAACCTAAGGAGAGTGGGGAGAGTCAGCAGGAGTGAACAGACTGGTAAGGGCATGGGAGGACATGGACAGATGCAGAAAAGGACTGTTTCAAGTGAGAAAGTCCGGCCATGAATGAAGGTAACTAGACTAGAGGAGAAACACCAGACCTTGCAAGGAAAGATAAAGAGCTAGGTGCTCACGGACTTCTCCCATTTTTAACCTCCACTCTGTGCATGGTTGTGAACGAAAGCTTTTTTTGGAAAGTGATGTTTCTGTTGCACTGCAGACTGGCAGTCTCGGGCTCCTGAAGGGAAATTCTTATCTGTGCCAAGTTCAGCTGGGCACATTGCATTAGCATAGCTAGAAACAGCTGCAAGGAAGAAGGGAGGGTCTACCTGATAGTGATCAAGGCCCAACAGATTTAGCCGTAAATGCCTACTCAGACAAATTCTGCAGCTTATGCCTAGAGACGTGCCCTCAGGTAGGGATACAAAGAGCTTTTCTGTATTGCTGAAGCATTGACCAATGGGGATGAAGTTACCCATGAAAAGCCAGAAAAGTTAGGATGACGACCTTAGACTCCACGTATCAGAAATGCTGCACAAATCCTGTAGTCTGGAAGTAAAGAGCATGCCAATGTATGGAGACCACCTTAAAAACTTGAATGACCCAAACCCATACCACTTGATACAACAGGTTCTCATTCAGAGGCTTAGTGGAAGGTATGAATATGCTTCAGTTCTTAAAAACAAAAAGGAAAAAAAAAACCCTTGCGATAATCCAGTGGGCTCACACAAATGCTGTAAGAAGCATGGGATATGGACTTGAAACAGTTTGCCAACTGCAATTAGATTTCTACATTCATCATTTGAATTTGTAGCTGGATTTTTAATTTAGGCTTCAAATTTATTTGAATAGATGCAAATTTTACCTTAGGCCTCACACAGTGAAACAGGCAAATTGTCCACAGGTCATGCAGAAGCTCTGCGACATTGAAGCAAAACACTTTATTCAACGAACAACATCTTCTTAAAACTGAATGCTGCTATTTCCTCTTCAAACTCTGTTGCAGATCTGTCTATCTTATGGTGCGATCTTTGGAAATACGTTTGCCTTCAAATAAGTGCTACATACACACTCAATAAAGCAAAGTGATTTTTCTAAAAGGAAGCAGTACAATACTAATGGTGTAAAAATTTCACCTCTAATATGTTCTTTGGAGTAGGTGATACAAATGCACCACAGGAGTCCCCATCCTTGAGCTCGGATTCCACAGAAGAAGGTGGCACCTAGGCAGAGTTCTGCTGGACCCGACGTAGCTGTCTATTGCTGGGCTATTGCGTTTGCCTGAGGAGGTTGCTGGATTAAGAAGTCAGTCTGCATATTTTACATGCTGAGCAGAATTCAATTTTAAAATCTGGCTAAGAGAGAATGAAGGGTCCACGAGGCCGAGGAGAACATTCTGTCTGAGGATCCAAGAAGGGGGAACGCTTTAATGACCGCAATTAGAAAGTGAATGGGTCAGAAGTCTCACAGCAGGGTTGGAGTCACATACATCAGTGTGTGATCACTGTTTTGACAAGCTCAGCATCACCTTGTCTAGTTACTTTGGCTACACTGTAAAATATTTCATGAGAAGGATATTCAAAATGGTTTCACCAGAAAAAGAGTCCATGTAGATATAGAACTGCCTGATTTTTAAGCAAAATGACAGGTTCCTGGGTCTGCAACAATTTTTCTGTCCTAAATAATAAAAAATGTAAAAACAAAGCTCTTGTAACAGGGTTTTCCATAAAGTAAGTATAACTGATTTTTAAAAGGGAAGAAAAACTTCCAAACAGATTGAAAAAAATGTTGGCTAGCGTGTTAGATAATAACTTGCAGTCAAGCTCAACCAACTTCCAGAGATATCTCAGACCTGCCCACAAAGTGGATGCTGAGAGTGACAGAACTTACATTGTGGAAAACTCTTAAAGTTAATATGAACATCTGGTTTTGACATTAAAGATTTTGGTACGTTATTGCTGCCAAGTAACCATCCCAAGGGGGAAAGGGATTCAACTAGATGTACAACTGTGAACTGGGTTTTAATTAACTAGCTAAAAGTATAGTGTTATCCCCCAGCACATGTACCCAACTTCTCTTGCTCAGTATGAAACCAAACCAGTGAACCACTTCAGTCCTGAGAATTACTTGAGCGTGTAGGTGCAAGCCTTGTCCTCCTAACTACAGGCAGAAGGAGGAGAAAATGGAATCCTGCTTCCAAAACATCCTCCAGAATTACCCGCATCAGAATGAAAAAAGTGGACTCCAAACAAGACCCCGGAGATCAATTATCCTCAATTCATATGCAGGCACATGCAGCAAAAGCCACGTCTGAACCCAAACACCCTGACTTCTGAGAGCATGTTCAAAACCAGGATTTTTCCCTCACCTGCTCCAAAAAGAAAGGACAACTTAGAAAAATGTGAGATTAAAATTACTTTTGTGTCCCACAGATGAGACAAAATTCAAGGAAGATGAGTATTTTACTCACCCTCTACATCCTTTGAACCCAACTAATGAGCTCTTAGGAACAGACATCATCTTCTAGGTCTGAAAGTAACAGGCTTGGGAAAACCACAAATGAAAACAGACCCCAAAAGAACCTATTTCAAGACCTGGTATCATCTTTTCATTTTCCCTGCTTTTGAAAAAGTCACCTTCAGTCTATAGCATATCTATCAGTAGGAGCTGTGGACCAGAGCATCTTCAGCCACCTACAAGCCCTCAGGTGCACTCAGGGTGTCAGCTAACAGACTGGTGTGCCAAGGCAGTTCACCCTTAGCTCAGCAATTCTACTTGTCCTGTCTCTCCAGGCCCAGGTTACTTGAGCCACTCAACTCTCCATACCACCCTAGAGGATGTAGTAAGAAAAGCGTAAATATGCCAGGGATACAGCCAGCCTTCAAAGTGATATGTAGCTCTAGGTCTGAATCACACAGGCACATACATTTTCTCCTGGAGTTGGAGATGCTTCAACCTGAATGTGTGGTTAGCAATCCAGAACTTATGTCAGTATGTACCAACAATAAGTAATTCATATGCAAGGTCACTGCGAATAGACTCCATGGGACAGACTCCCGTGGAGTCCCACAGAGATTCCTTATCACCTGGCAGTTTCAGAGAGCAATCACAAAAAGTCAATATCTGATTTGTTGCTATTTGTTTTGATACTTTCCGTGACATTCTGCCATCCTAGGAATATTAGGTGAAAGAGTTGGATAAATCAGTTAAAAAAAAAAAAGGCAGAAAAAAAGAAAGCAAGTCAGTGTACATCAGATAGGCAGCCTTGGAAAAAACCAGTTTATCTGGGTACCAGTGACTCAATAGCATTGCTTCCTATCCCCACTTTGTCCTGCTTGTTGCCATTAGTACCTCTGCAATGGCAAATCTGGTCCAGTTGATTAATAACAACATTAGACTGATAAAAAGTGAGATCACAAAATAAGTATTGAACATCAAATTTACTTCAGTGCTCTGCTTGGCTACATCCTTCCCATTAAGTGCCAACCTATTTGCAGAGAGGAAATAAATTCTGCGTGGCTGACCTTGGGAAAAAACATCTTGTTTCCCCAGAGCAGGTCTGAGGAGAATTGTCTAAAATTGTCATTTCTGCTGATCTAAACAGCTGCAGTGACACGTTGTAACTGAGTGAAAGGAAAAGCAGAAAGCCACTAAGCAAATATATACACTACTTAAAAAAAAAAAAAGAGTCCAAGCTAGCTAAGTCTTGTTAAAATAGCAATAGAAACAAGGGGACCTTGAAGTTTAGCTAGGAATGAAAATTGATATTTATACCCAGACAAAAGCCTAGCACTGATTCTGAGCTCCTCCTCAAGTCACTTATAAGATTACAGATATATAATTATATATATAAATTATATATATATATATGAAAAAGATAAAACAAATTTTGCTGAAGTAACTAGCCTTCACCATATGATGTAGCACTGACTGCAACATGGGCCCTTGCAAGGGTGCTTTGTGCAAAAATCTATAAAAAGTACTTGTGCTATTTGAACGGGCCGTCTCTGCTAGCTCGTCTCCATTGGAGGAGGCCCAGCCATTCAAGAGGTGCTGCTGGCATTTGGGGCATTGAAATTCTAGCAGTGCCTGTCTCACCAGTACTGTGTTAGGAGACTGGCACTCCTACTTCGAAAGACAACACAGAAAAGGAAAGTGTGCAGTTGTGGGGCCAGGGGTTTGACAAGCATGAGGCTTTTAGAATCAGAGGCAGCCGTATTGAAATATTTCCTGTTACCTGACACATCCAGGTGTTCCAGGTTCGGGCACAGTGACACGACATCAAAGACCGCCTCATTGGAGATGTTGTAACAGCCAGAGACCTCCAGCCTCCTCAGTTCTGGACAGCACTGGGCAATGGTGTACAGTCCTCTGTCTGTGAGCCGCCTGCAGCCACTAACAATTACCGTCTCCAACATGAGACATACGTTGGGTGTATCCTGACAAAGCCTCCGGGTCAGCACTTTAAGAGCCCTGTCTACATTGATTGTCTCGCCGGTCAGGCGAATAGTCCTCCAAAGTCGGGGGTCCCAGGCAAGGTTATACCAGCGGCGGCACACACGGGCACAGCGGCACAGCTGGTTGGTGGGCAGGAAGGAGAATATCTGGACCATGGAGTGGTCGGGCAGCCGGTCTATGTTGGCCTGTTCTTTCTGGTGCTTGGACGCCAGCCGGATGAGAGGATGAGTGAGACGAGTTGGAGGCGGCGAGTGGACCATGGCAACAGTTTCCCCAGTGACTGAGGATGAAGACGTCGACGACCCTCTGCCATTCTGGAAACCAGGTGAATTCGGTGGAAATATTAATGCTGGACTGGGTGTGCTGAGCGTCCGCATGCTCAGGTCGGAGTCTGGAAGACAAAACACACGATTTCAGTAAGCGGTGGGTGGACGCAGAGCTCTCTGTGCAGCGCAGCGTCCCACTAGCCCGTTTGTTAATGGAGCATGATGGGCTTTGGGGTTTGTTGGGGGTAAAGCAGTCATTTTTACCAGTGAGAGTGAGGAAGCACATATTTCAAAATCTATCTTAGGGTATACTCTGAAAACACTGTTCACCTTAGTGTTGGGTACGTGACAGAGACACACCCCTAGCTGTGCTGCCGAAGCATGCTAGCAAAGGAGGGGCTGCAGATCTAAGCCCTGTAACGAAGAGGAGTCAGCAGTGGAAGTCCAGGGATTTCAATTCTTTATACTCTCATCTAAACACTGCAAAAAATGAGTCCATGTGAGTCGCAGGCTTTTTTGACAGAGAATAACTGCCCATAACCTTGGCACTACCTAGGCAAAGTGTGAGCTTTCAGGGGAGGAATACTGTGGTCCTTCGCCTCTCAGCTCCTTCAGCCGTTCAGTGGGAGGCCAAAGAAGAGCGCACAAGGCAAATGCTACTTCCTTCACCAGACCTGGGCAGATGGGAAAAGCACAACTCCGTACACTTATTTTCATTGTGTCATTAAAGTTCAGTTTTCATTCATGCAAGATGGGACTCAGCAGTCCAACCAAGAGCCCAGTGACTAGTTCTTGAAGAGGGGTTGGCTGTGCCTCTTCATGTGCACGCAGAAAGCACTCCTTTCCAAGGGACTAAAGTGAACTTCAGTCGGATTTGAAAAAACAAGCTCAGAAAAGTAAGTGGCGAAGAAACAGCATGCCTGGCAACTTCTTACAGAGCCGTTGCACAACATTTACATGCTCTTTTTGGTCAGGCTAGTTGTCACACTTGAAGCAGTCAACCCAAAAACTCCCACATAAAACAATTTGCTACTTTTTTACCTTCTTTATTTCACTTTACTGGCAAAAGGCAGGCACAAAAATAAAGGGCCTCTACTACTAAGAAAGGTTGCCTTTGCTGTGAGATTATTTCAACTGTTTTCCCTCTGTGTTGACTTTGCTGCCTATAAGTCATTTCCACTCTTGCTTCCAGCTCTCCATGCAAAGCAAGTAAAAGACTGGAAGACAACTAGGATATAATTTTGATAGTCAAGCAAATGCCATGGGCAATACATTTAGAGACCCTGAGATATTTCAGCAGTAAGCTACAGAAGATGCAACCAGTGTATGAGAGATGAATGCTGCTGCTGAGCACACTCCTTCCATCTCCGACCTCTCAGTACTGATCTCAACAGAAATTCTTTATGAAGGAAAGCACTATCCAGAGATGAATACAGGAACCACAATTTAGTGCCCAGTAGAATAACAAATATCATGAATGGGGTAAGAACTGTGGTTTTAGAGCACCAAGCTTTCCTCCACGTCACATCTTCTGCTATCACTTCAGTGTTCAGACATTTCAGGGAAGCGTGCAAAGCCATCTCCTTAAGTAACACCGACCCTACAGTTCTGTGACTGTAACAGCATAGATAAGGACTAAGCAGGGTAGAGCCAGAAATGCATTCAACAAACCTGCCCAAATCTGGGTTTAGGCAGAGTTTTTAAATTAAGTACATTTTAAATGAATTTGATCAGTGTATTACACATGAATTTCCCCATCAAGCTTTTACTTAGCCCAGCACAGGCATGCTCTGATCTCACTAGCTACAACAGCAGCAACCACAGGCCTGCATTTTCACAGCATGTCTGCAAGGGAGAGAGGCACAGCTATTTAGCTGAAGAACCCAAGACACAAAGTCCAGCAGCTTGCCCAAGATCACCTAGTTCAGTTGCAGAGGGATCAAAATCATCATCTCACACTGTGAAGGAAAAACCTACACTACCCAGCTCCTTCCCTCTTCCTCTTCTGTATCTTGTTTTACTTAGATAGAAACTCAGTATTTCAGCAAGTGACAGGAAAAATATTTTCTTCAAGGCTTCTGAGTCTATGCTATGGCTATGTGGACCTAACCCAGGGATTTGTGTATTTTTGAGCAAGAACCATATCTTAATGCAGAGTGGGTTTTGCAGACACTCTGCTCCCCTTTGAGACCTCCTAATACCCTCCTGGCAGCTATTGCAAATAATTGCATCGAGGAGTGTTATTTGGAAAGCGTCTGGTATACTCTGGTACTTTAAAAATGAGATTTACAGCTGGAGAGAAAAAAACCAAAACACCAGCAGCAGCCAGGCTCCTGCAGACAAGCATTGACTCCATAGACCACTTAGGCAACAGTCCCCTAGATTAATTTTTGCAAGGACTTACCATATGTTTGACCTCCCTCACATTACCACCAAAACCAACGACAGTGCCTGAAGTTAAACATGTGCAGAAGATGTGGCAGACTTGGAGCCTTTCCTTTTTGCTCTTTTCTTGAGATTTTCAGACAAGGATCCTTCTAATATAAAAGAATACAAGTTTTTTCAACTGCTGGATCTATCTTCCACTACTACATGTATTTGGCATTGTGAATTCCTTTCCTTTCCTTTTGCCTTTTCATTTGCTTTAGGCTTTTTGTTTGCTTGGTTGTTTGCTTGTTTTTTACACAAACCAGCACAAAAAGGGAAAACAAAATGATACAAATACAAATAAAAACCACAGAACAAACACTTGTTTCTACACTGCAAAATAGGTGGAACCAAAATCAAAAGCAAAAAGTTTCATTTTTTAACATCTGCTATAAACAATTTTTAGTACTGCTGGAGTGATTACTTCCTGTAAGACAGTCTCCCACCATATTTTGAAAACAAATATTTTTAGTCAGTTATTGTTGAAAACACCTAAAAATCTCTGCAAGGTTACATTCTTCCCTATTCTCCGTTCCTACTTAAGTATAAAAAAGCATTTAACACTCCATGATTCTCCCCCCCTCCCCTGGTGATCAAAGCACCAAGCTAATATGGCTATCTCCACTCTTTTTGGATCAAAAGTGGCATTCCTTCATCACTCCTGGGCACTCTGTGAATAATCAATACCTTAGACATTCTGGGTGTGTAATGAATTACCAAAATGTGGGTTTTAACTTAGACCTAGAGCTAAAAAAGGTTTGACCTCTGTTTTATGGGTATGCTCCGTGCTTGCTTTGTGCTCTCTTAATTCTCTCATTAGTATAGCAGTTCCAGATGTGCATCCTGTATTTCCTTTACCTTCAACCCTGAAGGTGCGTCATGTGAAATTTGCTCCCTCCACCGTCAGGGCATGGACTTCTAGACAGACACATACACACGCATACGCAGGCACCCTGCCTCCCCACCCCAAAGTATTTTGGAAAAAGACTGTAGTGTTGTTGTTATGTTTAAACAAGAGAGTTGAGAGAGCATTACTGGTCTGCGGAGCCCGTAATGCAATATGCTCTCAGACAGGAATTTTGCTGGTAGCTCAGCTGAGCTCTGTACGGAGGTATTCCCACTTACTGTTCGTTGTACACCCCTAAGGGGAAAAGAAAAAAATAGCAGGTGAGTCCCGGAGCTTTTTGCCAGTAAAAACTTGGAAAGATTTTTGCTAGCATTTAAAGCTTCAGCAAAACACTTGGTCCACTGTACATTTTCCAGGCTTCTCAGGTATTGTTGGGAGGGCCTTCCTATAGCACTGTCTGAACCTCTAAGGGTTTCCTTCAAATTTTGTTCTTCACCATTTACTGAGTGCTAGCGAACAGGCTGAGCCGGTCTGAGACAGGGCAACTTAATGACAGTGTGACATTAATAAACACAACCCTGCAAGTGCAAATGAAGTTACTGACTGCAGTTCTCAATATACATCAATATACACACACATGGCCTATACAAGCATTTCTTTTCCCAAAAACCCCAATTGTTTACAAGCCTGAAATGCAGCTTTACATTTTGGTAACCTTAGAAAGTAAAAAACAAATTACAAAGCAGCACTGTGCTTCCCTCCCTATTTTTGCCCCTTTTGCCCCTTTCCCTCCCTGATTACCAATCTTCTGTGCAAGATGCTTTTTATTAAAGCTTTTCTTGGGCCCTGAAAATTGTTTGTTGATGTAAGAGAAAATTTCTTAACAATCTTTAAAGAAATCTCAAAAGATGCGTGCCAGAAACAGAACTATAAAAGCTGACACAGAGGGAGAAAATGCACTGGAGGGAGTTTTCTTATTCCATTAGGAATCTGGTTTATTTCAAAGGATTTTTTTCCCCCCAGTTTGTTTCCCAATTAATACATACATCTGGGAAAAAGAGCCTTTAAATATGTATGATTTGAATCAAGATCTAGTCTCTGTTCCTTCTGGCATTGACAACAATATGCAGAACCAGAGAGAGAAAACAATGTTGTGTTTTTGTTAGTCCAGCGATGCACACTAACACGGGACACTTGATGTCCGGACCCCAGCATGGGCTTTTTAAGATTGAACCATTTTCCATGCTTAAAACGTGACTCCATTCAACCGCACCTTCCACTACAGTATTGTGGGTGTGCCTTTTTTAAAGTGAATCTTATACCAAGCTCCTCAAGTTAACAAAATTAAAATGAAAATTTAGCTAAATATCAATCAAACTTCAGAATCTTAACTGACAACAAAAAAGGATCGTTTGTGTTGATCTGTTGTCACCACTGAGGTTTTTAGCAAAACTAAGGCAAGAATTAAACCAAACTATGTTCAGGCTTTGGAAAGTCAGTATAGCTGAGAAAAATAAAAAGCAATTGGCATTTTTGTCAAAATGTTAGATGCAAAATAATGTGCGCAAGAAGCACTTAGACATAGTACAGAAACATCACTTACTTAGCATCTCTTCAATAACAGTGTTGCATAGGTATTACATATTTTACTAAGTGCAATGTGGGTATAGACTTCACATTTTTACCATGATACCATCAACTTCATGCATGCCAAGGAAGTACTCCTTTTACAGACACTGGGGAAATTGGGACATTAATGGTTGTAGCAGCTATGGTCTACGGTGCAAAGGGGAATAGAAGCAGCTGACAGGCTTCTACAGGGGCAACATCGTGGGCTGATTCAAAG